TAGATCATAACCATATTTATGATAATTTTCCAGGCAAATTTGCCTGGAAAAGCCTACAGTTTAAGGGATAATAATATATTTCTACTACTTCTATTATTATTATCCCTATCCTCATCTTTATTTTCGTCTTCGATGCTATAATTACTATTATTTCTATTATCATCATCTCTATCCTCATTGTTGTTTTTGTCCTTATTATTCTCACTATCACTATCAGAATTTTTATCCCTCTCTTCATTCTTTTCTTCATCATTCTCATCATTCATTTTATTATACTCATCTTTATATCCATCTTTATTATTATCTCTTTCGTTATTTTTCTCATTTTCCTTTTTGTCCTCTTCATTCTTACTTTTATCTGTTTTTTTTTCTTCAAAATATCCTGTGTTCTTCATACATTCTAACATCTTCTTCCAAAGATTATCTTTGCTCTGCCGGCACCATATGAACTCAAATAAGCGGTCTGAAATTTTAGACTTTGTACGGCTTCTTGATAGAAGCTAAAAAAAAAAAAAATAGCAATTGATTAATTAGACTAATTTTTTATTATTTTGGTAAGAACAAAATAATATTCTATCATACTGTCTCAAAATAACTCCTGGGGTGTAGGTTAAAAATCTGTCTTAAATTAAGCTTAATTTGGTTTAATTAAGCTTAATTTGGGCCAAATTTTTAATCTACACTCCAGGCATTATTTTGAAATAATATGATAAGTTAAATTTAACATAGGCCATAATTTGAAATTACTTCTGGGCATTATTTTGCATCTATAGATAATTAGTTGCAATTAGCTATTGTAAGTTTAATTTATAAATATAATAGTTAATTTATAACTATTTTCATAATTTCTAGAATACTTGTAAAAAATTAGCAGAATGATTTTTTAGCTGATCTGGTTAAGTTATTATTTCAGCATAATAGATTAATTTTATTGAATCGGTTATACTGAAATAATAACTTAACCGAATCAGCTAAAAATTATTTGGCTAATTTTTTACAGATGTTCTAGGAATTATAAAAATAATTAGAAAACAGCTATATACCGAAATAATAAATTAATCAGATCGGTCAAAAATCATTTAGCTAATTTTTTACAAGTGTTCCCAGGAATTATGATAATAGCTATAAGGAATTAAATTAATTAAATTAATTTTTTTTAATTACTAACCTAAATTTTAATACTATTCCAGGTTTCTTCAATAGTATTCATATAGGTACCAGTAGTAGGATCGACAAAATTTAAACTATGATTTACAGTTTGATATCGAAATCCTAAATTAGAGTTTATTCTCATATAAGCATGCTACAGGTCTGAATAAATAATGGACCCGGGGTTTATATTTTCTTCAATTAGAGAGAGTAGAGTCTTAACAGATCT